ATTACAGAACAGACTTTCTATTCTGAAATGGCCAGTACCATGGCACAGATGTATTTCCTCAGCAGATGTCTCCTCCTCATAAAGGCTGCAGGATGGCTAATGCGATGTGATAGAAAAGCATTCTTCCCGCATCCCCTGCCAGGACTTTGGGCCCATTTGGGCAGACCCCGGGGAGTACTCAGTGCTTCTGCAATGGAATGAGCAAGGGAAGTGTGTTGTGTCTATACTGCTGGGTTTAGAGACTGCCTATCTTTTGGAAATCGAGTTGGCACGGTAGATCTTTAAAAAAAATACATACATATATATGTGTGTGTGTATATATATATATATATATATATATATAAAATTTTCAACAGTGTGTGTATCAAAGTAGTGTGATTTTTTTTTCATTATCTTAATTCTGTGAGTCAAAACAATTTGGTTCTTGCAGAAAGTAAAAGACAAGAAATGAACTGTGGGATCAGTGCCACGTCTGTTCTACTTGGACCTGGTACTGCTCATAGGCTGTGGAATATTTCACTTCCTTAATAAGAATTGGCATTCCTGACAATTGTGCTTCCCAGGTGTGGGATGGGGCCACTGGTGGGTATGACTTTTGGTAGCACTTGAGGCAATTTCTGAAGGTACGGTACGGACGTTAAAAAAACAAACATTAAATTACGTGATGAGTTAGTTGTTCTCAATTTTCTTTCAATCTCAGTTGTAACGGCAAAGAAAGACTTATGGGGCCAGAATATCCTTAACACTCTAGCACTTGTTAATTTCCCCTTTTGTAGCAAAGAGAGAAGTTCTCAGGCAACTGGATCCAGCTAGAAATGAATAACATCGATTTTCATTGTGTTTACTTTCATGGTTACCTTCCACTTGTGGCAAACAATCTTGGTTTTCTGTTTCCTAGAGTGATACATTTCATTTTTAAATGATGGACATTAAAAAGTGAGCCAATTTAAAGAAAAATGCTAGTAATAGCTAAGGTCTCCAGGGAGCACACTTGGAGGGCGAGTGCTGGGTGCAGAGAACAGTGCCTGGCCCTGGCTTCACCTGAGACTCATCTGGGGAGCTTAAAGATTGTGATGCCTGGGCTTCAACCCAGATCAAGTAGGTCTGACTCTCTGAGGCTGGGGCACAGGCCTCAGTGTTTGACTAAAACATCCCAGGTGTTTCCAGTGTGTAGCTGAGGTTGAGAATCCCTGCCAACCTACGCCCTCTGACCCCACACCTCTTTTTGGGGGTGGGGGTGGGAGATATAGAGTCTCACTGTGCCATCCAGGCTGGAGTGCAGTGGCACGATCTCGACTCACTGCAGCCTCTGCCTCCTGGATTCAAGTGATTCTCTAGCCTTAGCCTCCTGAGCATCTGGGATTACAGGTACTTTTTGTATTTTTAGTAGGAACAGGGTTTCACCATGTTGGCCAGGCTGGTCTCGAACACCTGACTTCAAGTGATCCACCTGCCTCGGCTTCTCAAAGTGTTGGGATTATGACTCCACATCTTGATCGCATAGTTCCCTTGTTTCTCTCTTCTGTCTCCAGCCCTTGTTCTCATCCACTTCCCCACTTCAATTTCCCTCTTATTTTCTCTTTCCTAGCTTCTCCTCTTCCAGCTTCCTTACAAGTATTCCTGTGAGTAATGCCCCTAGCATTGCCTCTTAGCCTAAGACATTCTTGAAACCATACAGTTGCAGCCCCGTTCATAGATTGCCACATTGCACTGTTTTCCCCGGCATTTGCAAATGCTGTCGCTGAAGTTTCTGCGCATCTAAGGCTTGTCGATTTTGTTCTCCACCAGTGACTTGTATTAAGAACAATTAGGATCATCGATATCCTGCTCTCACCGTGTGCCAATCGCTGTTCTAAGCACTTAATATGTACGAGCCTACATAATCCCGACGAAGGAGATACAAGTTTCGAGATGAGGAAACTTGGGAGATAAAATAGCTTGTCCACAACCACAGAGTGGCAAAGCCAGAATTCAAATGCAGGCAGCCTTGCCCCAGATCCCACACTCCGAGCAGATGGGACCCCCAAGTTAGTTGCTCATAATCCTGATTAAGGTGTCCTGGCATGCCATGAGTCACACATCACACAGGCTGTTCTCTGCTGCAGTAAGAAATTGAAATTTGGACCCACTATCCGCTTCAATGACATTTGGAATTGATAACTCTTTTTATTTTCTACTTAAATGATAGTATCTCAGTAGGAAGCTCACAGCTTTAAATCCCATCAAGATTTTAACCCATCACTATTCAGAAGAGATCATACTTCCATGATTGTGTGTGTATGTGTGTGTGTGTGTGTGTGTTGTCAGGAATATAAATTGAAGATTTAAAAGCAGGCACCCGCAATAATTCTGCAACTAGCAGAGGCAACCCAGGAGCTCTTGGTGGCCTTGATAAGGGTCTTCATTGGCTTATCCTGGATGTGACCTTCTGTAGCCTCCAGTGTTAGACATTCCAGGGCATTTTCTGCCTTTTAAAAAGCATCTGATTCTCATCCTGGTGTTTAATCAGAGAGAGACCCTGGGCCTCTTTCCACTCCTCGTGGGAGAGCTCCATTTTTATGCTCACATTTTTCATCTTTTGTGATACTCGGGGTTGACGTTTTAGGGGCAAGATCTTCTGCATTGGGTTAAAGCCTTTCGCAGGAGCTTGGTGAATTCTTGAGTGCCCAGGCCCCCTGGGGGCCCCCAACCCTCTGGATTTCAGAATGGTAACAGTGGAAACAAGTCTGAAACATTGTTCCTGGGCTGTAGCGAGCAGTCACATCATGGATTTTTTTTTTTTTTCATTTTCTAAGCCCCCAACAATGTAAGGTCTTTTATCAACATTATTTTATTTGATTCTCCCAACAGTTCTGTACCACCGGAATTATGCCCCTCTTCATTTTTCTAGATGAAGAAACAGAGGCTCAGAGACTCAGCTTCACAGTGCTCAGGGTTACCTGGTGAGACACCTGCTGAGCCACAGGGATCATGCCTGTTTTATTTATGTGCTGTCTGCTCCCCGAGATGAATGAGGTCAGATACTTTCTTAGGAGAAGAAATACTTGGAAGGCACCAGTGGGGTGTGACAGACATATGTTCAGCTTCTCTGTGGCTAGCAGACCTGAGCCAGTCCCCTCCCCTTCTCTATTTGAATTTAGTCCCATCTGTTACCCACCTCTGTAAGGTTGCCAGGTAAGGAAGACATAGGCTGTTGGCTGGCAAGAGATAGCACATAGTAGGTCCACAGACTAGTAAAGGCAGTGCCTATCTCTGACTTCTGATCCCAGGGCTGTACCTCCCTCATGTTTGTCCAAAGACCCAACATCTTTAGGGCTCTCCCCTGCCCGTCCCCTTCCCATCTAGCCCTGCCCACTGCCAACTGCAGTGCCTGCTTCTAAATTTCTTCTCTAATTCTTAATAATCAAACTATGCTGATAAACTATGCTAATTGCCTAGATCCGTGGTTCTGCAACTTTTATGGACATCAGAATCACCTAGAGGCTTGGTAAATCTAGATCATTGGACTCCACCCCAGAGTTCTGATTCAGAAGGTGATGCCAGTTCGGCTGGTTCAGGGACCATACTGTGGGAACCACTGGACTGAGGAGCCTCGTCCCAGTTATATGTGTGCTGATGGTGTCTGACCAGTTAGGGATCTGATAATTCAGTCTTAACTGGGGAAGATGCCATTGGAAGATAATGAGGAAGGCATTTGGGGTAGGAGGCTCAGGCCTTTGTCTCTTCATCATAGCAGTGGATAATTACCTTTTACATTGATGTGCAGTGGTTTTAGACAGCTTCTCACTGTTGTGAGCCTCTGCCAGCCATTAAATCTCAGACCTGCCTTCCTCTGGGTGAAATGGCCTTTCCTTCTAATTATTTGTGATTCCCATATCAGGTTTTTCAAGCTAGCATTGCATTGGAAGCACCTGGAGGTCTTGTTAAAGGGAGGATTCAGAGTTATTAAGTCCGAGGGTAGGGCCCACGGTTCTGCGTGTCTAATGAGCTCCCACGTGATGTAGATGCTGCTGGTCCATGGACCAGCACCTGGTAGCACTTCTGAATTACAGCTGTGTGTAGCAATGAGCTTGCCCCTGCTGCCCAATAGAATCACCCAAGCAGCTTTTAAAAACAAATACTTGGCCAGGTGGGGTGGCTCACGACTGTAATCCCAGCACTTTGGGAGGCCAAGGCAGGTGGATCACAAGGTCAGGAGTTCAAGACCACCCTGACCAACATGATAAAACCCTGTCTCTACTAAAAATACAAAAATTAACCAGATGTGGTGGCCTGTAATCCCAGCTACTCAGGAGGCTGAGGCAGGAGAATCAGAGGTGGAGGTTGCAATGAGCAGAGATCATGCCACTGTGCTCCAGCCTGCGCAACAGAGCAAGACTCTGTCTCAAAAACAAACAAACAAAAACCAATATTTGAGCCACATTCCTTGGAGATTCTAGTTTAATTGTGGGGTTTAAAATTTTGAATGCCACTGTTCCCCAACCCCCATGTGATTTCAGTGTATAGCCAGGGTTGGAAACCATTGGCCATTATCCACAAAATGGGGTAACACCTACCCAGAGCTCAGCTGCATGTGAGCAGCAGGGACTAGGTCGGGCTGGCTGCCTCCGTGCGGGGAGGGTGCACCATTACGCCTGTGGAGCTGCACAGGTTGCCTGGGAATCTCATTAAATTGTGGACTCTTCTTCATCAGGTTTGGGGTGGAACCTGGGTTTCTACATTTCTAATAGATAATCTGAGTGTTTGCTGATGCTGCCAGTCGAGGCTGGTGCTGAGTCTCCAGACCTGCCCACAAGGGCCCACATGATGCCCGTTATCTCTGCCGGTGATGGCAGTGGGTTACTTTTCTACAGCTGAGCATTAGAGGCTTTTGTTTCCACCTTCTTTCTCCCTAAACGCCATCCTGACGTCTCTTTTATTCGGCTTGGTATTGACACAGGACACTGGGCAATATAGGTTCCTTCTCTCTTTGTAATTTTTTCTTCCTTCTCTCTTCACAGTACGAGATGCAAAAAATCTAATCCCTATGGATCCAAACGGGCTTTCAGATCCTTACGTGAAGCTGAAACTTATTCCTGATCCCAAGAACGAAAGCAAACAAAAAACCAAAACCATCCGCTCCACACTAAATCCCCAGTGGAACGAGTCCTTTACATTGTAAGTGGTCTCTTTGATCAAATTTCGTTCCTATACACCATGCAGTTGTCCACCTCATTATTTGAGATAATGAGGTAGGCTGGTTCTAAACGTCTTTAAACATGTCTTCAGTCCTAAGATCTCCTCAGGCTGCCATAGGGAGGTAGCTATTAGCACCTGTTGGATAGGCGGTAATTATGATACCAAGAGTTGCATAATTCAGGCCTCAAATTATTATTATCTAATCTGGGTAAACACTTCTGTTTAAGATATTAAAGATGATTTAAAAGTGTATCATGTATGTCCACCTCTTGATGGATTTAGGTTCTTTTGAGAGTTAGGGGGAGGGCATAAGGCAAGAATTTAAATAATTTTTAGACTGCAGAATGAGCGAGTAACATAGAAAGTCTTATTGCTACTGAAATGGGAAGATCATTCTTGCCTTCAAAGAGAAGAGTTCCTGGAAAATGTGACATTTAAAGTCAGCCTGGGAGGGCTGCCAGGATTTCAGAGGTAGAGATGGTAGAAGGGGAAGAAGGAAATAAATAAGGCAGGAGTGAGTGTAGCTGAGCAAAAGCAAGACGTCCCGTTTGTAGACTAGTAACAGGAAGCAGTTTTTCTGTGGACAACCAGAAAGGTAGCTCTCTATTCTAGAGGGACCAGCAAGCTCTGCTCTATGAAGGACCAGATAGTATATATTTTAGGCTTCGTGAGTCATACAGTCTCTGTTGCACCTCTGTAACTCTAACTTTCTAGTGCCAAAGCAGCCATAGACAATATGTAAACAAATAGCCATGCCTGTGTTCTAATAAAACTTTATTTATAAAAATAGACTTTGGGCCAGATTTGGCCCATGAGTTATAGTTTATTAACTCCTCCTGTAGAGCTTTGATTGCCAGCATGAGGGTTTGGTATTTTACTGGACCAGTAAGAGAATTAAATATACTATTTCTCTATCTCAGTCTCAAGTCATGTACATGTGTTATCTCCCAATAAAACCACAAGCAAGATAACCTAGTGTTTGCATGTGTGTGTGTCTTGCAGCAAATTGAAACCTTCAGACAAAGACCGGCGACTGTCTGTAGAAATCTGGGACTGGGATCGAACAACAAGGAATGACTTCATGGGATCCCTTTCCTTTGGAGTATCGGAGCTAATGAAGATGCCAGCCAGTGGCTGGTATGGAAGCCATTTAGGTTGAATATGTCTCAAAGCATCAGACCATTTATATAGTTAGGCTTAAGTCTCTAAAATGTCAGTTCAGACAGGACATGGTGCCTTACGCCTATAACCCCAGCACTTCAGGAGGCTGAGGCAGGTGGATTGCTGAGTCCAAAAGTTTGAGACCAGCCTGGGCAACATGGAAAAACCCCATCTCTACAAAAAATACAAAAATTGGCCAGGTGTGGTGGTGTGCACCTGTAGTCTCAGCTACTTAGGAGGCTGAGGTGTGAGGATCGCTTGAGCCCAGGAGGCTGAGGCTGCAGTGAGCTGTGATTACACCATTGCACTCCAGCCTGGGCAACAGAGCGACCCTGTCTCAGGAAAAAAAAAAAAAAAAAAAAAAAAAAAAAAAAAAGTCAGTTAAATATCTACTTATGGCCAGGCTTGGCACAGTGGCTCACATCTATAAACCCAGCACTTTGGGAGGCCAAGGCGGACAGATCACGAGGTCAGGAGTTTGAGATCAGCCAGTTCGAGACCATCCTGGCCAACATGGCAAAACTATGTCTGTACTAAAAATACAAAAATTAGCCAGGTGTGGTGGTACACACCTGTAATCCCAGCTACTTGGGAGGCTAAGGCAGGAGAATCTCTTAAATCCAGGATGCAGAGGTTGCAGTGAGCCCAGATCACACCAGTGCACTCTAGCCTGGGTGACAGAGTGAGACTCTGTCTCAGAAAAAAGGGAAAAATGTCTACTTATCTGGCTGTAGTCTCTCCATAGCATGCATTTCACATAACAGCTTGACTAGAGGCTACGGAAGACTTGCTAAGCTTACGGTGGTAACTCTTTTTCTCCTGTCTTTGAAAGGTACAAGTTGCTTAACCAAGAAGAAGGTGAGTACTACAACGTACCCATTCCGGAAGGGGACGAAGAAGGAAATGTGGAGCTGAGGCAGAAATTCGAGGTGAGGATAACAAAACGTCTGGAAACACCGTTTCTTTCTAAAGCCTCATTTCAGAAAGGGCCAAGATGTTGTGGTCACATTTTTGAAAGGCAAAAAGTAATCTAAACATTCGTGATCTTTTTCTTTCTTGAGAAACATCAATGTTGTGTGTTCCCTTTCCTTTGCAAGCCGTTGACATTTTATGTCTCTTATCACTTAGAAAATAGAAACTGGAACTGTCCCAGAAATGAAAGCATGGTTGATTTCTACGTAAGAAATCAAGGCACACCACCGGGGAGAGAAGCAGGGTTCAGAGGGCAGGATTGTTCTCCCAAAGGAGGACTTGTGCTCTTCTGAAAAGGAGGAAGTCGTTTTGGCCTCTCCCTGGGAGCTCATTTGTGTGTAATCACAGTCATCTGAGATTTTTTTTTTTTTTTCTACAGAAAGTACAAGGTTCCTAATTTTGTTCTGAAAAACCAGCTTAAACAAATATGCCTTTGTCTTCGATCTCTTTTTACTTAGCGCCGATGTTTAGCAGAGGCCTCCTCCTACTCCTCTGGGTATTGGTGTTTACCTCTGCCCCGGGTTCACTGGTCTTTCCACCTCCTCCTCTGCTCCTTACTTCTCTTTTTCTTCTGCCTCTCACTTCTCCCCTTTGTTTACCAGGCATCTCAGCTTTTGGTAAACAGTTTTTTTCTCGAAGCACCTGCCTTATGTTTTAAAGTCACAACTTCCGATATTTTTTCTATTTCTCTCATCACCCTTCATTTTGGCTGTTTGAGGGATTCCTATAGTCGCCTTTTCAGTCTGTGTAACTGGTTAATTCCTTTTTGAATCTTTCTCTTCTTCAGCCTAGTAAGAATTCCTGGAATTTCCCCCACTTTAGAGCAGTACACACGCAGGCACACACACACACACACACACACGTGTATCGATGGTGAACTGTTACTGAAGTGTAACACTGATGGGATGCAGAGGCTCTTGTTTTCCTCCTCCCATTGTTCTCCAAGAAGCATACAGATCTGGGGGTGGGGAGGAGTGGTGGGGTGGGGGTGGGGGGAGGAAATAAACGTCCTTCATGCCTTCTGCAAAAGAAACATGTAGGTCTTATCCAGAGAAAACGAATCTCAAAGGATGTGTAAAACATGCAGTTGTTCAAAGTACATCGTTAAACTGATGTTTGGTTAAAGTTGATGTTGGTGGCAAATACTAAATGGCAGGGGCTGTTTGGTTAGATGTCCTTGGGAGCACAGATGAGTGAAATGAGTCACAGATAATCTCAATAAATGGAAATGAACAGCAGGCCTCAGGGTTGAGGCAGTAGGGAGTGGTGGAGACTGGGGTGAGCTGCTGAGCTTGAGCCCTGTCTGAAGGTGGCGGCTGCTGCTACCCCACCCCAGATGATGTTTCCCACTTGCGCATCCAGGCCCTGTGTTGCCGGATCTTCCTTCGTCAAGAGAAGCCAGAATTCCAGGTTTTTTCTGATTTCTCTTAATGTTGGCAGAGTTCTAATGTTAAAACTTAGAACCAGGCCGGGTGTGGTGACTCATGCCTGTAATCCCAGCACTTTGGGAGGCTGAGGCGGGCAGATCACTTGAGGTCAGAAGTTCAAGACTGGCCAGCATGGCAAAACCTGATCTCTCCTAAAAATACAAAAATTAGCCAGGTTTGGTGGCATGCACTCATCGTCCCAGCTGCTCCAGAAGCTGAGGCACAAGAGTTGCTTAACCCTGAGATGCTGAAGTTGCAGTGAGTCGAGTTCATTCCATTGCACTTCAGCCTGGACCACAGAGCAAGACTCTGTCTCGAAAAAAAAAAAAAAAAATTAGAACTGTCTAGGTGTGGTAGCTCACACCGTAGTCCCAGCACTTTGGGAGGCTGAGGCAGGCAGATTGCTTAAGTTGACAAGTTTGAAACAAGCCTAGGCAACATGATGAAACCCAGTCTCTACAAAAAATACAAAAACTAGCATGATGTGGTGGCGTGCACCCATAATCGCAGCTACTCAGTGACTGAGGGACGAGAATCACTTGATCCCAGGAGGCAGAGGTGGCAGTGAGCCAAGGTCATGCCACTGCACTCCAGCCTGGGCAACAGAGTGAGACCCTGTCTCAAGAAATCAAAACAAAAAACTTAGAACTCTGTGTGGGTCAAATACACATCTATTGCTTTAGAGACCAGTAGAATTCAACCAGTAAGAACCAGCTTGTAATCTCTGCTCTTCAAAAATACAGGAGAGAAAACATAATTTTAAAAAATTATTTGTACAGTTATCTATATTACAATGTGTATAAATATGTATATCTATGTATCTACTATTTGTCTACCTACCGATAGAGAAAAGAATGAGATTCTTTTCAGAGAGGCCTTATAAGATTTAGAGTTCAAGCACAAACGTGAAAGTCAGGGTTTCGGGCAGGTCCAGTGTCCATGCCAGGTGTAGCTCTTTGTCAGTTTGTATTTCTTCCCCTGCTTCATTATCTGTTTCCACCCCTACCCTCCAGCTGAGGACGCAGACCTGGGGTACTGCACAGGGCCACCTTCTTGAGCCCCATCTCTGATGTCACACCACTTCTGTGATGCTGGATCCTTCCAGAGACAGTTTCAGGATACCAGCATTACTCAGCTGTCTCAGGGAAGGAACCTGAGGAACTAGAAGGAACCTTCCTTACTCAATGTCATGCCATGGTGTCGATCGCGAGCAGGCACTGGGTCAGGGGCTGCTGGTGCAGAGAGAATGCGTTCGAGGGAGGAACCGTGTGGGTGTCAGCACGGGGTTTCTCGCAGTCCTGTCTGAGACTTAGCTTTGCTGGTAGAGAAATATTGACCCCCTCTTTCTGCTTCATTGTCATGGCTTCCTGGTGAGTAAACTTCCTGTTTTTCTGGGCAGTGAGTTCAGCTTTTTATAAAGGTCAGAGTTCTAAACAAACAAAATACAGGCTCGAGGGCCTGAGCAACGAGAAGCATTTCTCTTGGGAGGCTGGTCAGGGGCTGCAGGGGGTGTTGCCGGTGACTGTTCATCCTCCTGGGAGGGCTGGAGGCTCTGCAGGAGCGCCAGCCCAAGGCTGTGCAGCATCAAGGGGAGAGGCGGCATCAGCAGAGTTGCACGGGGCGGAGGCTCCACTCTTCAGCCTGCTGAGGTCTATGCTTGGAGCATCTGCATGAACTGCATTCTAGCTTTTTCTTTAAATATATTTCAGCTTGTATTTCCTAGCTTTTACTTGAATTACATTAGCTCATTTGCTTAGAGCACTTAAAAAAACACAACCGCGAGAGACTGGGCGGAAAGCCACTAGAGGATGGTGTCAAAGAGATGCCGAGAATTTTACAACAACTGCCACGCTTCATTGTAAATGCATATTCAGAGCCGATGTTAGGCAGGGGTTCAATCACATAATGGTGTTTTGTTGAGGTCTATAAATGTGAGAGTTGCAAGACTTTCCCGGTGCCAAGTTACTGGGAAGGGAGGCACCAGGGCAGAAAGGCTGGCATCCACATTTGAGCAGTTCTGGGTGGCAGCCAGGCTTTGCAAACAGGGTGCCAGTTGGCATCAGGTGCAGTGTGAGGAACCTCTTTGAACCCACATCCCATGTCCTCCCTCTCAGCCTCTAGCATGAGCGCCTCCCAGTGTCTCCAGGCTCCCCTCTCTGAGCCCTTTCTTTCCAAGTAACTGCCATGTTAGTATTTTTAGTATTTAAAAAGACTCAACACCTGTCTTTTCTTCCCTACCCACTCTTTCGTAGATACTTTGCCACCCTCCAGTAACAGTTCGATTCAGCTGAGTAAGATTTTTTTGTTAAGTTCGATGATGAATCTCTATTGGTTGAAACACACATGAGGGTTCGTCCTGTTGGGAACGGGCATCGCTCAGTGGCATCACAGTGTCCAGTCTGTCCTTATCCCTCCGTGTCCAGCTCTGTTTTCTAAAAAGGGTTCCCTCCATGCAGTTTTCAAATCCTTCCCCAGAAATCAAGTCATTCAGTTGGATGAAAGGGAAATCAAATGAGCGTTCACAACTCTGCCACTGCATTAGTATTCATTCGATCATTAGGTGGAAAGTTTTTCCAATTTACATGGTTGGTTCTCGAATCTTGACAAACAGAATGATCTGTGAGTGGAGCTCTTAGGAGCCAAGGAAAACTCCGGGGTGGCTGGAGACGACCTTCCTCGCTCGCACAGATCCCGCTTGCTGGAGCAGCTCATCCTCCTACAAGACAAAACACACCAGAACCTTGATTGCGACATTCATGGCCAGTGTGTCTGTGGGCCTTTAATCTGTTCCATGTTTGTCATCAAGTAAAGTACACTTGGTCCCTGATTCACAAACATAAATGATGCATTTATCCATTTGTTAAAAAGGTAAGGTGCCAGCAGCAGGCTAAGCAGACGGTTCCTCCCTTCTGTGAAGCTTACATTCTATATCTGTGGTTCCTGCTGCAAAAATCTTTCGGAACAAAGCAGGGAGCTTATTATACCCCTGTGCTGGCCGTGATTCCCCTGAATCTCCAGGCACTACTGAGGACAACTAAGATTCCTGTTCTTCCCTCTCACTTCTTGGTCTTGGCTCCCTGTGATGAGCCTCTCGGCCAGAGTTGGGGAAAGGTCCACCTTGCATTAGAGGTGGTGCAGAGGATGGGTTAGCTCTGCTCAGAAACTTTTTCTGTAAGTAGTCAGATAATAAATATTTTAGGCTTTCTAGGCCATGCAGGGTCTGGTGTAACACTCAACTCTGCTGTTGCAGCTCAAAAGCAGCCACAAATACATAAACAAATAGTTTTGGTGTATTCCAATAATACATGACTTACAAAAACAGGTGGCAGACCAGATTTGGCCCAAGGGCCAGAGTTTGCCAACTTCCGGCATAGCCCATAGGCTCTGGAATCAAATCTTAGTTTTGTCACTCATTTACTATGTGACCTCTCTGTGCATTGGCATCCTTAACTGTAAATGGAAGTAATAGATCAGGACAACTAGTTCTATTATTCCATTAGTTATAAATAGAACTAATGTCCTGATTCGAT